TTCCGGGGAGAGCCGCGCGCGCAGCGCCAAAGGGCCCCCGAAGTTCATTACCCTGGGACTGACTTTGTGCCTGTCGCTGCGGGCTGGGTCCCCTGTAATATCTCCAGAAGCGCTCTGACAGGCAGCGGCGGGGAGGGGAATAGGGCGTCCCTGGCCCACTTAGCTTTTCCCCCAACTCCTGGCGGGGTCTGACGTCAGCCATGTGCGAGGCGGGGATGGGAAGAGGGAGGGGGTTAAATGCTAATGATATTAATGAACCTCCCAGCGGCTCCCAAAGAAAATGCAGGCGCTCGCCGAGCTGCGGAGTTCGAGTGTGCAAATGCGAGTGCGGCTCCGTGCGTGCGTGCGTGCCGGGGAGGACGGCGCTGCTCTTGTAATAAAAATGAATTTTTTTTAAAAAAATTCTATTTCTTGGCAAGGGAGAAGGGGAGGGGTGATGGGGCTTTCTCAAAAAAAAAAAGCAAAAAAATGTTACCATAGAAATCCTTGTATCTTAAGCAACTATATGTTTTGGATGAACCGGGGTTTGAATTCAGGCCCTAGGACTAGCGCGTGTGTGTGTGCGCACGTGCGCGCTCGCGCACACACAAAAAGCAAAAAAAAAAAAAAACCAAAACAGCAAAAAACCCGCTTCCCCCACCCCCCACCCGCTCTCTCCAGAGTGCCAGATAGATTCCGTGGAAGAAATTGTGTGGCTGTGTTTGATGTGAGTTGGTTCATTGTTGGTCCCGTGCTCCTTCTGTTGGGTAAAACTTGGATCTGGCCCGAGGTAAGTCATTTATTCCTTTTGCATCTATCTATGGAAAGTCGGAGCTGAGGGTACTGTGAGCAGACTTGGGGGCCTGGGAATGGGGTCTTCGGGAGGAGGGGGGCTCTCCGCGTCCCTTCGGCCTTCGCGTGGGGTGCGGGGATTGGGTACCAGCCCCAAGGAGGGCGGTGCCAGTTTCTTCCGTGCAAACTCGGCCCACATAGAGCTGGGCGAAGCTCCTCTTTCCTTCATTAGGGGCACTGGGGCGCCTGAAAAGGCAGGGCTTCCCCTCCCTCGGCTGGTCGTCCCCCCTCTCCCCCGTCCCCCCCTCCCCCGCATCGGGCATAGCTGGCTGCCCCGCTCAGGGCGCAGAGATTCCAGAAAGCTTCCCCAACCTCCCACCCCAGCCGGCGCGCCCGGCCGCGATTCCCCGGCTCCCGGCGCGGTGCAGGCGGGGAGAGCGCGCGCCGAGCGAGCGCTGATTTCCGATCGCTGGGAGAGTAATTCTGTTGAAGCTCTCGGGGCAGCTTGAACTTGCCGAACCCGAGTTTGCCAGCTTCTTCTCCCGCGGTGGCGGGATGGGGTAAGGGTGGGGGGCCACGGGCTCGGCCAGAGGTCAGAGGTCGTGTCTCCCGTCCCGGACGAGAGCTGGGAGACGGGCGCGGTGCCTGGCGCCGGGCGTGGCTGCCCAGCCCGGGGCCCCCCAGCTCTCCCCGCAGGCGCTGCGTCTCCTGGGGCTTCCGAATCGGGTTTGTGTGCGTGGAAGTGAGTGGTGGCGTCTCCCGGACCCGCGAACCGGAGGGAGCCGGCCGTGCGCTCAGGTCCCCGCGGTCACAGCAAGTGACCACAACTTTCCGCCACCCGCCGGGCCGGAGGCGCAGCCCCGGGCCGCGAACCTGTGTCCTCCCCGGGGCGGCGCGGCCAGCAAGGCGCAGGGTTTGGGGTCACGGGGAAACAGAGAAGGAGAACTATTTCCCAAGTC